TTCCAACGGGGCGCTTCCCTCACTGCAATGAAACCCTGCAAAAGCCTATGAAGAGGGAACTTGGAGGTAAGGTTTATTGCAATCTCGTTGAGAAGTCTTTAGTTTACACTGGTCCGCCTCGTCCTCCTCCTCCGCCTCCGCCTCCTCCTTCACCTCCTCCTCCTCCTCTCCCTCCTCCTCTTCCTCCTCCCCCTCCTCCTCCTCCTCCTCCTCCCCCATTTCCTCCTTCTGTTCTGTTCTGTAAGTGCCAAGTGGGACGTTGTTGCCGACGCTCGGGGCACGAAGCGGGCGGACATGCGACATGATCAACAAGCCCCCAGAAACTCTGGGGGTCCGAACGCGGGCAATTACCCTGCGCGTGCCCTGTCCCAGGGGGCCGGGTCTGCCGCATGGAAGAGAATGATTCGGGCCCGCTGGGAACCAGCGCACACACACACTAGAACCATGGCGCGCGCTTCGCGCGCGCTCAAATTCTAGCTAGGGTTGATGGGCTAACTCTTGGGATCTAATTTTGGTCGTTTCTTGCATCCAGGGGCTCTCTTGGAGGCCCTGCGCAAGCCTCGGAATCACTGCGGAAACGCAGAAGTCCTGAATTCCCGATCGGTATTCAACGATTTGGGGCCCTCAAAGACTTCCTGGGTTCTTTTCTGGGAGCTGAGGGGTGCCTTAGTTGTGGTCTGTCGTGCAAAAGTAGACAGGGGGAGCGAACTTGAAAAAAAGGAACTGTGGTATTCCCTTTTTTTTCAAGTTGCCGTGCCTGGGCTGTAGGTTAGAAGTTTTATGGATGCAGGCCACGGTATGCTGGGATGCCTCTCGTGGTCTTCGTGCAAAAGCATCCATGGGGCAAACTGGAAAAAAGAGCAGAACAAACAAAAAAAACGTTATTTTCGACTCATGGGATCACGGGATCTCGATTTCTACGGTGGTTTCAGGGGCAGCCAAGAGGACACGAAGACGATCCAAGAGAGTACCAAGACAGCGTTAGAGAGTTCAACAGCATTCCCGAAAAATCTTTGCATGTGACCCCGAAGTCTTGATGGGGTTCGGGGAAGAAGATAAGGAGTATGAATCCCAACTTGAAACAAAATGAATAGCTGGAATTATTTTCTTTTTCAAGTTCCGCGGTCTTTGAAGTCTCTTGGATGCTTTCTGGGAGCCTGGAGAGCCGACCGAAAGCTATCCTGGGTTGCTCGGGAGCGTCTTGGGCCTTTCTTTTACGTTCTGGGGGCTTCTTGGGATCGTCTTGGGCTGTCCTAGGCATTTTGGGACCTCCCGGAAGGTCGGGAAGTGCGGTACCGCGAGCGTTCCGCAGATGTTCTGGGAAGGTGTGGGACCCCTGGGAGGAGGGGCGCGCATTTGTTGAATTGTTGCTTAACAACAAAAATAATCTTTGAAATTCCTTTTTCCAAATTCCTCGGTCCTGGAGCGTTGGAAGCCGGAAAACGTGAGACAAATCTACAAACACAATTCAAAATCAACGTTTTTACCCTCTTCGGGCTCTCTCGGGACGGCTCTCGAAACTCTCTTGGGCTGTTTCGAGGGGCCTCGTCGGAGTTTTTTTGGAAGCCTCTCAGGGGTCTGGGGTGTGTTGGAGGCCTCTGGGGGGGACCAGAATCCTCTCAAAGGTCTCAGGCGGCCTCCTGCTCCCGCTCTTGCGTTCACCTTGGGCCTGTTCTGGGGTGGTCTGGAGCTGTCCTGAGCGCCTCTTCGGTAGTCTTGGGCCCGTTTTGGCCCGTTTTGGGGCCGTCTTGGGGGCCTGTTGGGCGGTCTTGGGGGCCTCTTCGGCCGTCCTAGAGCGTTGGAAGCATGAAATGGTGAGAAGGCCAAGAACCCTGAAAAAAAACATGAAAATCCCACCAGCCCTCTGGGCGCTGGTGGTCTAGAGCGTTTCCTCTTCCACCTCCCTTCTTAAGGGGTTTATCGTTGTTCCCTATGAATATACACCCCCTCCCCCAGGCGACTGGCAGCCAACCAGGAGTGTGAAAGGGGCTGGGAGGCTCAACCAGCAGCTTCGCCTTAGGCGAAACCCAGCTCCAGCTCTGTCCTACCGTAGTAACGACAGTCCCGGTAGTAGGAGATCGTCGCAGAAGCGACGAACCATCTCAAGCAAAGGATGTTTTGGCCTCGGTGACAAATTGTACACCTCGCGATGAAGTGTAGTCAGATCTAGGCGGCCGGCCGCTTTGAGCAAAACGGCCGCGGGCGCACGCTCGTTCCCAGTCACCTACCGCCCAGTTCACTTTAGAGTCGGGGGGGAGGGAGACGAAGCGTGAACCCGCCGCCTCCATACAGCAGGTACAGCAGCTACTATGTACAAAAAGGCAGCAACAAAAAAAAAGGCGGGGCCGTAAGTAAGGTGGACCCGCGCGCAAGTTGCATCGCCTGCACTTTACTGTGCATACGAGTACTCCTCAGGCGGCTGCAGGCCGAGATGTCTGGCCAGCCCGATAAGGAGTATGACGTTTTAAATCATATTTGAAGGATTGCGTGCCCCCCATGGCCTGTAGGAGCATTTCTCTGACGATGCTCCCCTTTGTGTGACCGTCCGCGGTCATATCGCGGGTGTCACACCATTGAATACTGTGCACGGTTCCTCGCTCCATCATCTGTCGCATCCAGATGATGTGTCCTAAGAGGGTACACTTAGTCGGCTTCTTCACGTCTTTGCTTGACAAGGACTTGAAACCAGATTCACCATCCATGGTCAAAGTGACCTTGATGTTCAGGCCACCCAACTCAAGTATGTCTTTCAACTGAGTGGGAGTTAGCGGCCCTGCATGGAGCTCGTTCAGAGTCACAGTCGTGGGATAGCAGTCATCCGAATTGCGGGCTGCTGCTAATGTCTCTGCTGAATAGCTCGAGCGGGCCTGCAAGCAAGCCTTGCAGTACGCATCGATCAAGTGAACGACAGGCTTGCCAGATGGCGTGCTTCAACACCGTAGCAGGTTTGCCCCGCGAATGCCATAACCCTTGACTTCACCATCGGCATCTCCACTCAGGCGTCGATAACCTGAGTCGCTGCGCAGGTCAACTTCGCCCGCGGGGGTCATCGCTTGGTAGACGATCTTCTCCGGGCAGGCCTGCAGTTTCCGGGCAATCGCGTTCAGTCGCCGCACTCGCATGTCGGCCGATTCTTGGACACGTTATAGAGAGACAGCACATACCATCAACCGCACCTGAGTGATTAAATGCATACGCCAATGCGCCTCTGAGGCTGACGAACATGTCTGCAACCATCTTGGATGCTTGGTCGTCAGCGTGGGCACCTGAAAATCCAGGATGTTGCACAGACAGGACGGAGCTGTTTGATGTATTCGTCTTGGTCCAGCGTAACACTGCCGCCCTCCCCCTTGGTATATCTCACAACACAATTGGCGCACGTGTGCTTGTTGAGTTTACACTCACCAGAGGTGTCCTCCACGCACTTGACTCGCTTGTCAATGGCGTCCTCTGTGCCGGCCATATTGATGTCATCAGCATGTTTGGCTGCCAGCAGGTCGCTGCTCGCCTCGAACTCCTCGTCGTAGGACGCGGGTCTGAAACCGAAACCTCTCGCGGTCCTTCTGGGCTTTAGTGCGAAAGTTCGGAGTGCGTCCTTGGTGCCAGCACCTGGCTTGAGGCACTGCAAGCAGTGCCGGGACTCGTCGCAATGCTCGAATCCTGGGAGAGTTCGAAGCACCGTGGCCGACCCATGCGGCAAAGTAAAGCACGCCACACGTTTCTCTCACCAGTTGCCTCAGCAAGTTTCTGGTAGGTCAACCCTTTTCAGGAAGGCCATGTTGATGTCAAGGGAAGCAGTGGCCCATTGCTTCTTGCACGCTGCCGCGCTTGCGAGTAACCTCTGGCTTGACCGCCGCGCAGTTCCTGAGAAGGCTTCCACGTCGAAGGCTTCAAGGTCCATGAAGCCTCCAAGCACCAGGCGCATTATGATGGCACGCTCCATATCGCTCTTCTCGTTCTTCACAAACTTCCATTTGTGCACATACCTCG